GCAAAAACTGGAAGGGGGTGTCAAAGTTTACCAGTCTGAGAGGAATATGTAAGAAATATATTCTTCTTCTCAAGAACAGCTAGCCCATTATTAGACATGCTTATATTGTAACAGGAGTGTAAATTCAAGTTTGTTCAAATCATGATTCCTGGGTTATGGCTGACCATAACAGTGTTCAGTGTTAAAATAAGAATATATAAATAATATGATAATGGGACAGTGAGTAAAACGCATTAAAGACTTCAAATACTACTATTAGAATGAACTGTTAATCCTTGGAATGGAATAGCTTAAGGGTATATATGGCAAGGTTTTGGAAAGTCAGGCATTAGGAAGGTAGATGTAGAATTTAGATGCATGATGAATCAGCAATAAAAAAGGTAATATATTCCATCCTAAATGTAATAGCAAAAGATTAAATGAAATTGAATACAGTGAGATCTAATCAATACGAAATAATAACAAATCAAGTTTGCTTAACATAGGGAAACTTTATAAAAAATCTATGATTTTTCGGTTCGAAAACAGCAAAGCTTATTCGGAACTACATGCTTGGATGTCTGAACCACCTACTTACAAAAGTAGATTTTGAAACTGATACGATTACAAGTTTGGATTAATAAACTTACAGGATTGGATTTACAAACTTACAGTTCTGAATTTTTAATACAATTAATTTCCATAGTGAATATCATCCTTAACAGCATTTACCGTGTGGTCGGAAATACTGTAGAAGTCCTTTTTTTCCGCTTGGTATTAATTTACGCTATATACGCGGTCACAAATTCTCGGCGGAAATTTGTCCAAGCGTACTTAATGTATGATAATATATGAAAGGCATATAGTGACAATCTAAGAAATCCGCGTAATTTTCTACCCGCAGATTAAACAGAATTAGAGATACCGCGGAATTATGACCCCGTGGAAAAAAAGTACGTCTACAGTAGTTAAATATTGAACCAGAGTATGACAACTGTAATTGATACAAGATAAGGACAACTAATTGAAAAACAATACAGTCTTTGGTATTTTGTTTTAGATCTCTATGAAAGAGAATTACTAATGTGGAGAGAAGATGACGCAGTTTACTATGAAACTCATAATTTCCATGCAATGCTGGATGAAGTCAGAAAACAACCCTTTATGATATTTGTTGGGGTTCCTGGGTCAGGGAAATCGGTAACGATTCGTCACATAGCCTTGATTCTCCAGAAGGAAGGATATGAGATTGTACCAATTAAAGATGTCAGGAAGATTGAAAATTATTGTGACCCCCGAATCGGACAGGTATTTGTCATCGATGACGTGGTTGGTGTTATAGGTCTTAAAGAACAAAAGTTTGAATTATTGATAGATTATGAAAAAAATGATTTCAAATCCCTATAATAAAAGTACAAAAGTACTTATGTCTTGTAGAAAAACAGTATTTAATGAATGTCCCAAATCATTTTTCTCAAATGAAAAAAATGTAATCAAACTAGACAGTCCTTTGTATACCTTGAACGATGATGACAAACAGGAGATACTTCACAAACACGGCCTAGGTAGAGATTTAATATCTCCTGAAATGCTGCGAGAAACATCAAATATGTTTCCCCTCTCGTGCAAACTATTTTCCAAAAAGGAAAAAAAAAGGAACAATGTCACTAAATTTTTTACTTGCCCTGTTGAATGTATTTTAGAGGAACTAGAACAAATGCAACATCAAAATAGATTACACTACACGACTTTGGTTCTATTGGTCTTATTTAAAAATAAATTATCCAAAGAAATAATAAAAAGCACAGGAAACAAGGATTTATGTGAAATGAAATCAAAAGTACTAGAAATATGTGAGGTGGAGAGTTGCACAGATGCGTTCAAATTTGATAAAGCTTTGTCTGCAATGGAAGGAACTTATACAAAACTCTGTGGTACTGAGTATACCTTTGTACATGACTCAGTCTTTGAAATTGTTGCGTATCATTTTGGATGTCAGTTTCCAGATCTTATTTTGCAATATAGCAGTAGTAGCTATATTGCAAACAAGGTGAAACTTCAGGAACGAGAAAAACATGAATCGAAGGAGGAAAATGAGCGAAATGGGGAAAATGATTTGCTCATTGATGAGAGTGAGGATGATTCGCTCATTGACGAGAGTGACGATGATTTCCTCATTGACGAGAGTGAGGATGAAAAAGGAGATGTTGCATCTAGTGGTGAAAGTAACAATTACAGAACGTCTAATGATCTCTGTATAAGGATGGGAGAGGATCATGTTCCAATGCTAGCAAAGCGCTTGTACAGGGATATACAGAATATGGAACTGTATGATGTTTTTATGAATGATGCTTTAAAACAGCCAAATCTGTGTCAGGCTTTTATTGAGGTATTAAAAACAAAGTCCTACACGGAGCTGAAGTCCTTATTTCTGTCAAAGCAGGATGACGTATCTAAAGTAGTAAGTCAAAAGAAACGTGCGAGGAGGAAATATGAAGGTTTGGGAATGGAATGGCAGGATTTGCTGGTCAATAAGAGGTCAGGAAAATACAGTGTAAGGGTTATCAGTTGGGTGGTTTACTGCGGACACAATCAAATTTTGCAACATATTTTAAAACAGACTGAATTTAACAAAGAAACAAAATCTGAACTATTTTGGAATGCATTTCACGAAAAATTTAAACAGATCAAGTATAACATGGAAGCCAAAGTTGCAGAGGACAGCTCATGTTTATTATACGCAAGAAATGATCCCCGAGGACAAATGAATTATAGAAATGAGCCAAGTTTTGATTACAGTGAAATAAAGTCTGAACAATATCGCTTACTCGTACTTGGTTGTTACAGTGGTAATCTAGAGATTGTTAAAACATTCATTAAATATGTTAATATCGATGACATAAACATTGGTTTCCTAAGTTTAGTTGACGTCTTTGACAATGAGGATGTTTTTCCCATCACACCACTTACTGCAGCATGTGAAGGTGGGCATTTAAGTGTTGTCAAAGAGCTGTTGAACGTTGGATTTTTCGTTGATATACCATGTTTAGAAAATGCACCACTGACTGCAGCGTGTGAGTTCGGACATTTAAGTATAGTGAAAGAGCTAATAAAGTCTGGGGCTGATGTGAATATTGAAAATTGGAGACGAAGAACTCCTCTTCATATGGCAGTTCTAAATTATACAGAGGTACTAATACCTTCCCTACAATTGTTAAATGACCACGGCGCAGATGCCACAATACGTGACCTAGATAATCAATCACCACTATTCTTGGCGTTATTTGAGAACAAAGCTGGTGTTGTGAAACAATTTTTAAAAAATGAGAATAAAAAGCAGTTGAATAAATTAAAAAAACACTTGTTGGACTGTTTGATAAACATAAGGCAGAGTGACGTGATGACCAATAGTAAGGATGATGTGGTTGTGAGAAAAAGAACGTGGGTTTTAAGTGATTGTGAAGAATCGTATGCGACATTAATATCTAGTGAATGTGATGTATTGAAACATTTGTTAGGCTTGGGCCTTGATGTCAATACATTAATACAACTTTATGATTCTCCTCCGTTTGAATCTGATTTGAGACCTCTGTTATTTCTAATGATAGATGAAGAATATATCCACGAGAGAATAAAAAAGCTGAGAATTTTGTTGGAGGCAGGAGCGGACGTCAATATGAGAGTTAAGTACAGAAAGTATAGCTCAGTGATCGAGAGTGGTTCTGTATCTTATATCTTGTCTTATGTTGAAAAAGAAGGGGATTTAGAACTGTCGTCTTTTTCAGACAAAGCGGTTGAATCCGATGATTATGGTGATAATAATGAAAACCGTGATCCATCTGTGAGAAATAAATTAGACAAAATTGGTGTGTCTATTCTAGAGAGGACAAGACAGATGATTTTCAAGTTTAAAAAGATTGACTATAAATGGAAAAGAAGGAAAGAGACCGAGTACAAAAAAGTCCTACGTGAATTAAAAAATCATGTGAGACGATATTCCGTTTGAAAAGGTACTCAATATAATGTCATCAACGTATTGAAAAAAAAAGATGCTTGTGATGCGTTTCTCATTGAGATATATTTTAATTATGCATGTACAAAAATTACGTTCCAACGATTTTCAAATAAAATGGAATACATTTTCATTCTGCATCAATTCTATATATTTAAATGCCATTTGAGAATTTTATCGAATATTTAATCATGAATATGTCATTAACTACTTTTAAAAGATGTATCATTTTTTTTTAATATTTGTTTATTTTAATTAAAATGAAAGCTACAGTACATGTCCTTCATAGAGGAAGATAATTTTACGCTTTGATGGCTAATTATAAAAATAAAAATTGGAGTTTTTGAGTTTGGAACCACATACATTTTCCCTTGGCGAATTTTAATAGTTACATCTTCTATTGTTTAAATGCAATGTTTTAAATATCTTTTATTACATTACTGAAAAGATCTTCTATTAAAATAGTAACAATTCTTAATTAAAAGTTTATGTTATGCCAACTTTACCCGAAATAACAGATTATTTCTCATGATGGCACATGGAACAAACTTTACATATTGGTTTCTTTTGTCCTCTCTGGTCACTGTAGGCTTGAAATAGGCATGGATAGATGTATGTTAAAGAGAATTTTTGCGCTCATTTTTGAAATACGAATTGTGAACTAAAGTACGTATGGTTAAGATATGTATTCTTATTTATTTAAAAATATCAAAAGAAGTGTAAACAATATGTGAAAGAATAAAGTAGTTTTTGATTATCATAATTGATAAAACTTGTATGAATGGTTTAAAAACATTGTGACAGTTTTTTGTAAACCAAAGAATGCATTATTCACATCTTTTTCTATGTCAACTTTTACATTTTTATTTGAGAATGTTCTTTAACTAATTCCATAAATGTATCCAACAAAATGACATCTTGATATACATAACTAACATATAAAGTTTACCCATTTTTGTTTTTAATTATATGTTATTTTATGAACACGAGGTTCTATGTATGTGTGATTTTTTATGAGTTTATTTATTATGAAATTTGTAATTAGAGGAATTTAGAGAAATAATTATTAAGAGGATACTGTGTAAACATTATTCTTCATGGGGGATCAATGCTTGTAGATTTCATCGAAAATCATCATCCACAAATTTACATTCCCACGAACAATCAAACAAACAAACACTGAGCATAGTATAATACTTGACTGAAACCCCACTAAATCCCAAGGCTAACAGAGAAAAAATGACACAGATTATGTTTGAAAAATTCAAAGTTCCATGCTTGTACGTAGAAAAACAAGCTGTACTCTCTTTGTATGCTTCCGGTCGGACAACTGGAATTGTACTCGACTCTGGAGACGGTGCCACGCACACAGTACCAATTTATGAGGGCTTCGCCCTACCTCACACTACTATGAAAATGGATCTTGCTGGACGGGAACTCACCGAATATCTCATGAGAATTTTCACAGAACGTGGTTACGTGTTCACAACCACAGCTGAAAGAGAAATTGTCCGCGACATTAAAGAAAAACTCTGCTATGTTACATTAGATTTTGAAGGCGAAATGCAAATCGCTTCAAAATCCTCATCACTTGAGAAGAAGTACGAGCTTCCTGATGGACAGGTCATCACCATTGGTAACGAAAGATTTCGGTGCCCGGAAGCCCTGTTCCAACCCTTTTTCCTTGGACTGAAATCTGCTGGTGTGCATGAAACCCTCTACAACAGCATCATGAAATGTGATGTTGACCTTCGAAAGGACTTGTTCGCAAATACAGTTTTGTCGGGCGGAACAACCTTGTTTCCGGGTATTGCTGATCGTCTTCGGAAAGAAATTGCAGCATTAGCTCCATCAGAAATGAAGATCAAGATAATCGTTCCACCAGAGAGGAAATACTCCGTCTGGATCGGTGGTTCTATTCTTGCTTCTTTCTCGGACTTTCTACAAAAGTGTATCGACAAACAGGAATATAACGAATTCGGTCCTTCTTTCGTGCACAGAAAGTGCTTTTAAGTTATGTAAGTCTCAAACAACTTTGCTAAATGAGACTTTACAAAAATATTCTCTCTTTGAATTACCAGATTCTTGTCGAAGCAGTGCATCAAATTTTGAAAATCAATTTGATGTCTTTTATATGTGTTTTTCATGCTTAGATTTGATTTATCTATCAATTCTTTTTAGCATATGCTTTATACACAAATAAGATATTCAATCAATTTACTCACCTTACCATTCTTTTCCAAAAAAACATTTTAAAACTAAAATAACTTTTGTTGTATATTCATGTTATGTGGATAAATTATAACCATATTAATCTTTTATACTGCTATGTATTTGCTTCATCATACGCCTTACACAATGTATTGTCAACAGTGTAGATGTAAAATACGCATGTGCCGGTTAGAGCTTTGAATTTTTCATATGTCGTTGCTCTGTTATCTGTTTATTTCAAAATGATTGTTATATTAGAATCAGGCAAACATTTGAACATCTTCACATTTTGTTGAAGATCGCCTTGACTGAAATTTGACATTATCGTTATTTCTTATTTTATGCAAACACAATATTTGCTGAAATATACGATAATATCCTATTTAGTTACTGTGTATAAATGTAATCTTGTAGTTGTTTGTAAGAATTTGCTTTGCTTTGAAGGAGCTTTGGAGGAAAAAAGGTATATTTTGTGTTTTCATTCAATACCAAGATTTGTCGAATATAAAATCTATGTTCAAATAATACAATTAAACTATTCATCGAATATGCGGGATTTAATAACATTTGCCTCCATGTATGCTGTTCTTCCTAGAAATTCCTCTTTATTTGTTCATCCAGAGCAGCTCCTGATGTGAGAACTGTTATCAAGAAAACACTCTTCAGAGTAAAGCTGTCAAGAAGGAGAGAATATCTGTTGGTGTTTAATATTCTGATTTAAACTTTGTGTTTTCTCGATTTCTATGCTGATCTTAGTATTGCGAAATCCCGAATTTCTTCTCTAATTTTAGCTTAGATGTAAGTGTCAGTCCCATTATTTTGTTTTTCATACTACCAAGATACGAAATTATAGTTGAACATTTAAAGTGATTTAATTCGTTTATAAACACTCATTGAAAAAAAGGAGCTAAGACAAACATTTAAAGTAGAAATTCTAATATTTTTGTATAATATAACGATATGCGTCAGTTCCATTGTTTTCTTCCTCATGATAACAAGATAAAAATATTAATTTTCCTCTTCTATGTTGTCTTTTAGGAAAGTTACAATTCGCTTATTGTTCCATATAACTCTCCTTGATTTAACCATTGCTTTAATTCAAAAACCTTATTTTGAATTCACACGAACAGAAACAAATATACATCCTAGTGCCCCGCGATATAAAATATATCAATATGAAATCCATAGTAAAATACTTTGATTTACTATCATGAAAACTTTGATTTACAGTTATTTTGTAGTATTTTTTTTATATAATAGTTTATAGTAAATAATTAGTATTTTTGGGGTAGGTGTTGAAAACAGACTGAACTGTTGAACTCCGACAAATATGATTTTATAGTAAGCTGTTGTAATCATATGAGGATATTTCTCTGTGTGTAAATAAAGCTATTCACAATTTTTTAGGCATTGAAAACTGTTTATTCAGGTAAGTGAGACGGGTTTAACACCTTAACTTACTCCAGGAAAACTCATCCAGATACCGGAAAGTGTATAAGGAATAGACACTGAGAAACAATGGCGTTATCAGTTGTTATCAGACGTAATGATGAAACTAAACGCCGACAGTGCAGGGTGATCATTTGTATTTTCTATCTTCAAATAATGCTTTTATAAAATATTTTTATTCTACTTTATTGGTAATTAACGAATCAAGCTTTTCAAAAAATATATTGTTAGCTATCTAAAAATACATCTATTGTTCTATTTTGTCTATAAACTACGCATAATATACAGTAAAAATTTCACCAGATTATCCAAAGAGTTCTTTGATAACCTCGTGTTTATACAAGGAAAATGTTAAAAAATTAATCTTCAATTATTTTGCAGAAGTGCATGAACTATTCACGAGAAAATCAAAATAAAATGTTTTTGAAGGTAGATTTACTAGGAAGAGAAAAATGCATGCTGCATGAATTGTTGAAAAACAATTATTCTGATGTTGCAGCGACAGATTGGTCAACAATGAAATTGTGAGACCAATGAAAAAAACAAACATTAACGTTGTTGGACTTTTATTTTTTTAAAAAAAGACAAGACAGCTATTGATAAGGGTAGAATAATAACACATTTTTATGTCCTCCCTTCAGTAAGTCCGCCTTCTCATCCATATACCAGTATCACACTATCGAGTATTCTGGATATTAAATTTCCTTGACCAAAATATCAATTTTATACGAAATTTTTATTGATTATTTGATTAATTGTATGTTGTTTTCGAGTTGCAGACTGTTCGAGATTTCTGTACTCCTCTAGAGATGTCACCGAATAAGTGTAGAACGTCAAATCAAAATCAAAATGGCAAAATTCTGCATCTTCTAGGTGTTCATTAAAGAAGAAAATTGTTTTCCAGTAGGTTTATTTATTATATAAAACAATTCACAAGTACTGTTTTGATCATCCCTCTGACATTTAATAAGATAGTGTATGCATTCTCATTTAAAAATAACAGATGAGCTGTTTCTCCATTATTATCATGGATTTAAGGGGCTCAGTTACTTGATGGAGAAAATTACATAAACCCAATATAAACTCACAGTCATTAGAAACGCAACACCCTCGAGCTCATTTTAGGGTGACAATTATATACGGGATATAACCATGAAACAAAAAAGTTAGGACATCTTTTACTTTGCTAGATCAGTTATTTAACTGTTGAATGATTTTCATTCCATTACCAGAAGTTGCTTTTTAGCACTCTGAGCAGAAATCAAAATTTTGCAATTTTAATAAAAGAATTAACAAAATTCTGGGTTTTCAAGTTGAAGCTGTTAATCATAGATATTGTACTAAAATCCCGGGAAGGAATTCTCCTAACTTTTCCGGATGTGAAGCCTATATTTCTTAAAAAATGATTGATAGCAAGGACCCCCTCCTTTTAAGAGTTATGTGTTACTTGCTAAGGTTTAATGATAACAATAAAAATGAGTATATTTAGGTTCAAAAGTAAATTTACAAAAATTTGATGCTTCATTTAAAGGTTAAATATTATTTGTAGACCTTACGAAGTAACAAATAACTCATCCCCCTTCCGACCATTCAATTAAAACGTGCTAGTCCGCCATATAACCAAATGCAGCCCCAAATCTACCAGGTTTATTTCTATTAAGTTTATCAATGTCTTAATTTGAACGAAATTAATATTCTTGGGCATTTTTAAATGCATGTTTTTTCAAATTTTGCGATCGAATTTTCTCTAACTTGGCGTAGTGTAAAAACTCTTGAACTTCCTGTCTAGAAACTGTCACTTATGCTTTTTATACACATGCGCCTGATGAGTCGTTATGTCGAGTATATTTGCATATGCAGCTCTTCTTTTTTCTTTATTTTGAGAATTTCCAGCATAAGCAATGAAAATGCTTGCTATCAGTCAAATATAGGCATCACATCCGAGAAAAAAAGATGGATTTTTCCCCGGGTTGTTAGTACAATATTTATGATTAACAGCCACGACAATGGAAAACCCAAAATATTGCTAAATTTTTTATCAAAATTGAAAAATTTTAATTTCTGTTCAGAGGGCTTAAAAAACTTGTGATGGAACGAAAATTATTCAACCGTTAATTAACTGATTAAGCAAAGTAAAAGATGTCCAAACTTTTTTGGTACATAGATATATCCCGTATATAATTTTCACCCTAAAATTAGAGTGTTGCGTTTTAATGACTGTGAGTATAGATATGTTAAAAAGTTTGTGCATCATATGAATAGAATTCATTAAAAAATAATATTGATGTTTTACTTATTTCTCATATGCGAAATACTTTAATTAAACACTCAGGAAATGAAATTAAGTTCAACCGTTTCATGTCATTTACGTAAGGAAAGCCTTTAAAAAAGGTCATCTTCCTTTCACAGGTATTCATCTCATAATCTTTATAATTCGTTTTTACCTGTTGTCTCAAGTTCATAGCGCCATGATTTGAAAGTGACCAAGAAAGGGTACAACTTATATTTTTGAGGTCTGTGTTTGCTCTGCTCCAATTTTCTTTTGTTTAATGAACTTTTGATGTTGAATACTGTTCGTTATCTCAGTATATTTCACTGAAGATACGATTGTCTCTTTGGAAGTGCCTACTGAGTTCTTACATTTATCTTTATAAACAGATTGAACTCTTTTAAATGTTTAATCTCGTCGACAATTACTAGATGGATTAAAAAAAGATGAACATCAATGTCTTTCATGTTTCAAAATTAAATTATATTATAGAAGTATAATGTTTGTATTTGTATTTCATAGTCTTTTCTAATTTCATTAAATAATGATGGAAGGGCATATTGCTTTGCCGCCGTCTGTCGGTACGTCCATCAACAGTTTCCGTTCATTTTCTTTCTAAAGGTCGCACATACTGAAATAAAATTTGATATACAGATTCAGCAAAAGAATATCTAAGCCAGGTTGTAACTAGATTAGATTATTTAATTGCAAAACTCTGTCGAGAAATCACAAAATATGACCAGAAAAAGAAGAATATTTAGAATAAACTGATGATGTTCCAGAAACGCTATCAATCCATGCCTTATCTCCTGCCTCCATTCTGACGACAGCCATTTTACTGCATGACATATGGATACCATGGCTGTTGTTGGCACAATGGTTATATATGCCCTTCTTTTTCCACTCAAGACAAGAGAGGTATAAGCAGCTTTGTTGATGTACGTGATTATCGTCCAATCAAAGTGGTAAACGCCCGATTTGGGAGCGGTGAAAATTCCTTTAACCGCATTGTATCCACCTCTTATATTCAAATCGACTTCTTCGAACATGAAAATGTTCCCATGACTTACGGATTGAGTGCTTCCTTTCGCGTTGGCATTGAATGCTATTACCAAATTTTCTAAGAACAAATAAAGAATGTATGTAAATGAAAACCATGTGATCAGTGCATATTCATTTTATCAAGGATGCATCTGAATTAGTATCTTACTTCAGTCGAGGTTCTTTTTACAGTGGTCTTTAACATATCCAACAGCCACACATGTTTTAGCGACACTGTCATAGTCGTCTCTGAAGGATTTTAGGCTAGGCCGGGGTGACACTTTGTCAGTGTTTATGATGACAAAAAGTGAAACAAATCCCACAATCAAGACTAAGGAATGCATTCTATAAAATTCATGATAAGCAATGCAAAAAATGAATTGAGTTCCTTAGATTTGATATCTACATTTAGTTATTGAAAGCTCAATGACTATTATTAATCTTTTTTAGCAGCATCACATGCCAATTGTTGGTCAGATATATATTTCATGTAAGTCGGTAGTTTTCAGGAAAAAAAAAGAAATATGAAGAGATTTATGAGAGAAAAAACGTTATCAGACAAAAATCGCTATAACTTTATGATTCCGTTAATTTGTTCATATCTATTATTTTTTTATTTTCATCGGGTATTCTTAAAATGTAGCATTTACAAAAATTAAAAGGGTTTTCAATTCAAAATATTTCTTTCGAAAGTGAAAAAACATTAATGGTAGGGTTTACTTGGTTTTAAGTTAACACCAAAACTTATCACGAATAGCTCTGTAGTAAGTTTTTGTACGCCATACAAAGTAACAAATTCTTTGAGCAAAAAATAATATGTTTTACGGTGTGACCGTTGGGGCGAGCGCAGTTGTACCATCAAAAACACTTGAGATCAGCCACTTCGAACGTCAAGCCGCACGAGATATCTCGACTAGCTGTGACGTCATACGACGTCACAAAGCTCGTCGGAGCTTACGGAGACAGCCGAGCGTCTGTTTGAAACTATAGAACTAGTGCAATTTTTGTCGAAAAACATTGCAGAGTTCTTTCTTGTTTCTTTTAAAGATTTCTACAAACTGAAAGTCTGATATATGCTTTACGTTATTATTTATTTATTTATTCGGCAATATTCGCGCAAAGGACATTGGGTAGTGCAGGAATTCTGGGAATGTTGCACAGAGAAATTTGGCTGACGTATGTACAGATTTCAATCCGAATTTCCTCTGTTCTTACACGTTAGTCTATTGAGCTCGCTTCGCGAGCGTCGCTTCGCGACGCTCGCTGCGCTCGCTATTAACGTAATCTCCTTAGTTTATTCTAAGCATAAAAAGTTTTCTTACCTTTCGTCAGGAATACTTGATTACGTGAAGTGAAGATGCAGCCTTTCCTTTTAGTATCAGTTTTTATTTATTTTAATTCATGCGTGCAACCTTATCATTTGGTAACATATTGCAATCGTATCATTTGATATCAGCATGGAAAAAAGTATTTATTATGAATGTTTCCAAATTCAACGTAAATAATGTCAAAAGTGGCTGTAGCTACATTATATTCCATAAAAAATTCTTTTCTGGGTAAATATTGTATTATCCTTAAGTTTTTCATCAAAAAAAGGGGGGGGGCCTTTTTATAAATTTTGTGATACCAATTTGTCTTTTTTTCACAATAATTCTGGAATAAGTGTGCTGTGAAGCTTACGTCATGAAGTCAGATATACTGTATTTCATTTTTGAGACTTAAGTTTTTTTAAAGACAGATTTTTGACATAAATAGCTTTCTAATATATAGCAAAAAAAGTGAATCAGAAAAACTGTATGTTGCAAAATTAATTTATATCAGCGACCATACTAATTAATATTTCATCTTACTGAATGAAAGAAAAACACACGTACATGTATTTTTTTTTAACTTGGCATTTAGAAACAGGAAAAATAGACTATACGCGTTTTGAATGTTTAGAAGTCTATCGATTTACGAAGGGTTAGAAACAGTCAGAGAAATAGTTCCATGAATTTCCAATATTTATTTTTACCAGAGTGAATTTGAGAAAACGCTATAGATATAAGCAATTGTCATCAAAACATTCCAATTATTCAAGCATGTGGACTGATGTAGTGTCACACAATTTTTCCGTACAAAATTACCATTTCTTCCCTTTCTATGTACCTGATATGAGATTTTATTGTAAATTTTATATGGAATGCCGAAACAATGAAGAGCTTAAAATGACATCATAAATTGGGAGAGTGTTTTTTTTTTTCAAATAGTCTATAATGTTTGCCCAGATGGAAACTGGTATAGATCTAAGATATATTTACACGAGATGCATAGAAAAAAAAATCATTCAAAATTCTTGTTTTCCGTTAGCGCTTGATGAAATATTTTCTACGTGAAAAATCTCTGTGTTTTACACTCCAGGTAAACGCATACTATGGCATCAAACAATTTCTTTATACTGCAAAAAAATGAATTTGATTTGAGATTTTTAACAATGTGAAAGATTTAACAATATTAAAACTTACTACAAATGCTGTTTTGTGAATAGCTTAATCTCACAAAACATAGTATAAACAAATAACTGATCGGCAAAAATTTGTCTAGATATGGTTACCTTTGTAAATGCACGACATAGTTAGTACGCAGTAATATAATTAGGCAAATTAATGAATATTTTCACAGTTAATAATGATATGCACTCTGTAGTTAAATTAAATGTTATTTACAGATATTTAAGACGCTGATAACTTAGATGCATCGTTTTTTTTAATGATTTACTGATATTTTTTTGTACATTTCGTAGTGAACCGATAACTTGGAAAATTTGCCTGCATGTGCATTTGAGGGCAATGTAATGGTCTTGATAAATCGTTCTATTACATACACTCAAAGAAAAGTGGTAAACTTTCACTTAAAAACTCTAGAAAAATTAAGCCACATGAAAAGAGCTGTAATCTCGATGAAACAAATTAAATATTTCTTAAATAATGTGCTTGACCAGTACAAAATGCACCACACATACAAAAAGAATTTTTAACATTTCGGAGTAAAATGAATATAGGATCGCTCTTTTCACAGACTTCAATTATTTTTATAAATATTTCTAGGTTTAACTTTGAAAAAAATATTGGTTTTATCCTTGCACTACTAAAATTTATATGTGACAAATATTGTAAATTTTAACCGCTAAAATGACGTGACTGTCAAATCATGTGATCTAAATAGAAAATATAATTGTCCTCAATAGGTAGCTATTAACATAAAAACATTTGTCAGATATCAGAAAAGTACAAAAAATTGGCATCGCGATTAAGAATGTATATTTTTTTAATTTCAAAAAAGTGCTATTACCTTACATTTATTGGATACCATAACTTTCTTGCAAAGATCATGAACGCCAAACTTTGAAAGTGAAAAAAAGAAGGAGGACAACTTGTCATCGATAATTCTGCATCACTGGAAGTGTATATCAAGGCTATACATGTAACCTATCTGTTATCTTTATAATAAGAAGGAAGTGTTTCATTTCTTTAATCTGCTAGAATAATTAGGTGAAATAATCACATTGTTTTAAGTACAATAACTCCATGACGCAAGAAAATGGCCAATATACTAATTGATGCAGGATTTATATTAGGAAAGTCAATCATGATACTGTCTCTCATGTACATGTATCTCATTTTACGCGAAAGTATAAATAAAAAACAAACATTATAACAGGAAGACAAATCATCATTAAAAAGCCACCATTTATCCAGCTCTTTTGATTTTCATACTTTTGCATTGTTTACCAGTGTCTGATTTATGCAACAGCATAGTTTCAAGTTTCTTAATTTTTCAGGCCACATGGCTTATCAGGGTTCATATGCATAAAAATTCTTATTCTGCTAAGTATATTCTCAAGTGCCGATTTACTTAAGCAGAGTGACGTTTTTTACTTAGTACGTCACTTTACGTTGTAAGTGGATTGCATGACGTTTCTTATTCTTACTTATATGTCTTAGAATATGCTTAAAGTTAAACAACCCCTCACCTTGTCTAAAGTTTTTAAGCATTATGCTTACCACAGCAAAATGGCTGCAAGACAGCAAAGACAACGTCGTGTTTTTAAGCGGAGATTAGATCCCTTTACGGAATACAATGCTGTGGGACTTATCACACGCTACCGTTTTGATAGACAAGGAATTGAACATATCGGGACGCTGATTGACGATTTCGTTTCACCAGCAACAAGTCGAAATTGTAGCATACCAACTAATTTACAAGTCATGATAGCTCTTCGCTATTTCGCAACAGGAAAAATGCAGTTATGTAACGGGGATGACTTCGGAATTCACCAATCCACTGTGTCTAGAATTGTTCAAAGGGTCTCTACAGCCTTAACTCGACCACATATCATTCAAAGATATATAAAATTTCCTACCGACGCTCAGACAATTCACAGGCACCAGACAGACTTTCACGCAATCGCCAATTTTCCGGGAGTGCTTGGCGCTATCGACGGGACCCATGTTAGGATATTGCGTCCTACAGTTAATGAAGAGGAATTTGTTAACAGAAAAAACTTCCACAGTGTTAATGTGCAACTTGTCGTGGACGCACATTGTCATATACTGGACATAGTCGCCAAGTGGCCAGGGTCAACACATGACGCAAGAATTTTGCGAGAAAGTGGCATTAGCCAATTATTTCAAACACCCGGACTAATTCCTGTTAAATGTCACCTTCTCGGTGATAGTGGCTATCCGTGCAAAAACTGGATCCTGACTCCCTTCCTTAACCCTGCAACCCAACAGGAAAGAAGATACAATGGGTAAATATGTCTTATTTAATAATGATGTTATACTGCGAACTTTTTTCTCATTATTTTCTGCATCGACATATTTCCAGGTTGATTTACAGTTAGTTACCGCATTATCGCCATTCGATAAAAAAGAAAACAACCAGAAATAGTATACTTTTTCAAGTAAGAACCTACCCTCCCCCTAATTATTGCATACATCTTCATTAATCAATTATTTCAGGCACCTAGCAACAGGGGGGGGGGCACTTTTTTTCCCAACATTACCTTTACTATAGAAAATGTCCATTGAAAAGATGGTTGCCCCCCCCCCCCCCCCCCGTTTTCTAACACAGTATATTCATAGCAAGGAAATATAGGAAAACATTAGATATATATAGGATTTTCGATGTTTTTTTCCTTTGCCTGTCAACTTTTTTTAAGTAAAAAAAAAATCTCAGGTTGCCCCCCCCCCCCCTTTCAAAAACGATGCTACGTGCCTGTATTTATTTATTTTTCATTCATAGATCACACAAGGTGACGAGGTGCATTGTTGAGAGAACCATAGGACAATGGAAAAGACGTTTTCATGTATTACATTCTGAGATAAGGTTGTGTCCAGAGAGGGCTTGCAAGATTATTATGGCCTGCGCAGTACTTCATAATTTAGCAAAATTGCTCAACACGCCAATCATTGACGAGGATGGAGAAAGTGACGAGGATTCTGATGAGGGCAGTGATGACGATGATGCTGATAACAACAACTGTGTCCCCGACAATCTGGATGGCAGAGCATACAGAAATCACATTACAATGAATCATTTCTAGAGAGGACATTTATTATTTTACATTTATCGAATATAATTTATTTTCAGTATAAAGATTAATAAAAAGTTTTACAAGTGTTTTTTATTGAAGTCTTTCAATTGTTGCTTCAGAAGGGCATTCCTCAGGCGGAGGTTCTCAACTTCGAGTTGAAGTTTCTCTCTAGCTAGGTTACATGTAGCTGTAGTTTCTCTTGGAGAATTTGGCGGCATTGGGAAGGCCGAGATACCCAGTGACACGTCTTCTTGGATAATGGGCTGACTCGTGCACGTTGAGAGCTGTGGGTCGAGCTGAAAATCCTCCACCACTCGTCTGTTTAAAAATAATTTTTAAAGAATTATACTCGTCATTTATGAGCATCAAATTATCGATTTACTATTCAAAAAAAAAAATCAGCCAGAACAGTCAGTATCGAGATTTATAAAGTTGACTGACACTTAAGAAAGCCTTACCCTTGCAGTGAACTCGATGGAATGTCTTCCATGCCCCTGTTGAAATTGTTAAACGTCATCAAAGAGGAATCAAAGGCCCCAGATATTCTGCAGATAGAAACATTTTCCTCACCAATTACCTCCTCAACAGCTTGTGACAGTGCACTTAATGGTTTCTCTGCCGGTCCTCCACCTATGTAAATTGAAGCATTTTGTTATTATTTAAAATTTGTTTTTTGTTGCTTTCAAAAAGATATATCCATTATTTCATGTATATAAAAAAGTTTACATTTTCTTTATCAAAAAATACCGGGGATCACTTTAGCTGAGATAGTAATATTTTTTTCACTATGGCTTGCTTATTTCGAGCTGATTGTAATTCACTATAGTATATGATTTTTTTTGTTTCTGAACAAATCATTATTACATAGATCTAGGCATTTGTTTGGAAAATCTAAAAGTTCTTCGCGGTGTGCACAATCTAATTAAAAGTAGATGTTAGATCCAATGTAAGTGTAGCGTGTATGTGAGAGGATCTAACATCTACTATTTATTAGATTGTGTAAAGTATTTTCGGTAAATGAAATTGCTGGTCGGGGGAGGGGGGGTTATAAAAAATAAAGGTATGGTTATATTCTCGCACGGGCCATTAGGGTAAACACAGTGAGACTATGACCTATAATATACTAATAAATCAAAATAAACAATCTGCATGATTACCAAGGTCGTCCAAATTTCCGTAATCTTTCCGTGCTAAAATAATTTCCAAATTTGACACAGTCTACTCTTTCAGTCTTTGACGCCTGTCTTTTGTCATTCGAATAGTCCTACGGTACATTATTACACATGTAATTTTGGTACTTTATAAAATAAAATTTTAATACATTATGAGTCTCTTGACTTGGAATATCAATTTCAGAATTTCACAGTTAGATCTACCGCTTACATCCCGTTATATATAATGCCTCAATACCGACAATAGAGTTATCACCCTTGTATCACTTGTATCTTAGGTACGGTAAACAACATGGCTGACATAACAAGCATACCAAGCATTTCACGAACCTGTTTTTTGCAAACTTCTTCTAAAATCAGATATTTCTCCCCTCCCCTTCATGTGGATGTTATGCCACTTCTTTTCGACTTCTTCTATAGTCCGGACGGTTGAAGGGTTGGCTGCATTAATTGATTCAGTAATATTTTTCCATACTTCCCTTTTCTTTTGAGTGGTAACTCCGGCGCCGAATTTAGCCCTCAAAATTTTCTTATTATCGTTAAATAAACGCGTTAAATGTAAACATTCTTCCAGTGTCCAGTTTGGTTTACGTTTCTTCTCTGCCATATTCAGACGATGATGATGACGTAAAACGGGAGATTCAATATCGTCAAAACCCGCAATGACGTCACACCATTGTGACGTTTTATTTTAAGCAAGAAGTGATATGCTTTGCTATGATGCACTAAGTAATGCATTTAGAATTTTTATGCATGAAACTTAAAGTATGTTTCTTAGTTAAGCAGTTTGATCTGGGAATAAGTATAATACTTAATAAAAATTCTTAGATTTTTTATGCATATGAACCCAGAATTATACATGGCTTGCTAATAAAAGAAAACTTGAAAATCAGAGTAAAAAAAGACATACATGACAATAGTCTTATTACAGCCCGGAGGACTTGACTGCTCTATACATATAAGTTTAAGGGTTGGTGTATGCAATTGAGCGGAGAGAAGCTAATAAATATTAAAGGTTTTCTAAATATTATAAAGATTGTTAATCACAATGTTCTTTCCTGTTATAAATTACGATATACATAAATATATTTATTCCATAAAGTAAATCGGTAAAAATACGAGTATATATGCTTTTCTCATTTAATATATGAAATTCAGTCTTTTGTTTATGCAGCCAGCATTTACTTGAGAAATTGATAAATTTGAAGAAAAGTGTATCAGTTTTGTTCGATTTTCATCCGACAAAAGTTTTCAAAATATTCTCGACTATCGTCTCCATCATTTAGACGCACGCCCTTTTCACACATCTCAAAGCGATTTGATGATCAAGACCTTTCCCATTGTTTACTTTTTTAATTGATGGTTACATCAATGTATTCTTGTCGATATTTATATTCATTTTTATTTAGAGATGGCTTTCTCAGAGAAAGCCAAAATAGCATAAATTACAAAATGTAATATAGGAGGTGCAAAATAGCATTTTGTAAAAAAATATCTTTGAAATTTAGTATCAAATTTTATAGAGTCGTGTAGGATATGAGTTGGGGATAGGAGATGGGTACCACTAAATGTTAGAGAAAGAATGGCCGTGCCCATGTTTTGCCATGGGAAACCCGAAATATGTGTTCAACCAAATAGTAAATTAGAAAGTCAAAATTGCAAGATTCTGTGAAATTCCATTGAATTTTAATCAATGGTATTAGAGGAGTAGAAAAAGATTCATCTTAGTGCACCCATCAATTTTGAGATCCACGATTTTACATGACAACCCTCAACTATGTGGCCCTATAGAACCTCACAAATTTCAAGCAGGGGGTACATTAAAATGAAATTCATCTTCTTTATGGAGGCTACACAAAATATTCATAATAGAAAAATCTTAGGTACATGATAGTTACTGTGTGCACCTGTTTAAATGTTCAACGTATAACATAATAGCCTCAATTTTGTTTATGGTTGTCTATAATGACACTAAAGGCACTGTGAGCACTGAGCTCAATAATAAATGTATGAATTTTTTTAAAAGATTCATTGCAATTGTCTATAAAAGCAAAAGCACACTGGTCAATACCCCTCCCCCACAACAAAAACCCCGCCCACACACGAATGTTTCTAATTTGCTACACCTATAACTATAACTTGACTACATGTTTCAAACTGATTTTTAATACTTAAAGCTTGATCAATACTAAGTATATGATAAAATACATTATTTGTTAGAAAGTACTGAGAACGATAGTATTGTTCTCCCGCCTACCTCCAATTCAATTACATGATGAGTAAGTACTGGTCCCTGCCGACAAAGCAGGTAACAACATTGTCTTCGTTTGTAAGGCTCAATATATAAATTGTATTTTAGAAAAAACTTTGATTTAAGGATATCTGATCCTCAGCCAAGAAGGATAGCTTAAAACATTAATATTTAATTTGAAATGCATCAAAATAATGCTTGAAAATAAATTCTTTTCATGCAACAATTATCATTTTATTCATCTCTTCAGATTCAAGGTTTTTGGAAGGCTTAGAAAATGTGTTATAAAAGTTGACATTTCTACCCTATGAAAGAAAAAAATTAATACTTTTTTAGAGAAATAAGATTTTCTTGGATCCATCCTTAAATACCAAAGCTTTTAAGCATGATATGAAATAAGAAGTGATTTGTGGTGTCTTGCAATGATAGCAAAAGCAAAACAAAAAAAAAAGCACAAAAAAACACACAATCATGTATTATAGAATACATGACGGAGATAAAAAAAAACAAAACAAAGTAAGTATAAAAATCATGACAATTTCTCTGAATGCATGTATATCTATCGTTTTTTAATCTAAACTATATTTGGTCAGTTGGTCAATTTGCATTTTGAAAATGCATTGCTGATATTCCAATTCGTTTTTTCTTCAAAAATATTGGAGATTTGACAATTTTCCTTATATAATATGATTAACTTTAATCTTTCACACTAAAGAAATATGAAGTTAGATTTACATAACTCTGTGGATTTAGACTTTTGTGAGTACTTTTGAGTACGTACATGTAACTGCTAATTTTATAAACCTGAGGATCGTACTACCTTAATTCTACAAATTGTATTCGTACTTATACTCATACTTTCCTTTCTAAAAAAGAAATTCTTCAAAGAAGGATATAGAGATAACGAACAGTGTTCAATATCAAATCCATAAAACAATACATAATAGGAGCAGAGGAAACACGGACCTCCGAAACATCAGAGGTGGGATCAGGTGCCATTGAGGAGTGAGCATCCCCTGCTGACAGGTCACACTTGCCGTGTGCTCTTCGTCATGATCAAGAAATAACGGAAAAATCCGTTGTCAATTCACGATTTCAGTGTAAAAATAATAATAGACTAACAATTAGTATGAAAAACGTCAGTCGGCATTTGACTCAATGATAAATTGTATTTGCTGACAAGGTCACCGTATCGACCATAGAACATCATATGTCAGTTTTTAAAATTTTTTTTTAATTCCACAGATCCAAAATGAATTTGAGCTACACTATAGATAGATTGGATTCTGTAACTTCATGAAAATCCTTAAAATCAAAGATAAATTCCAGTGAATGTTAAACCAAGCCTCTTTCGTTACTCTTCACTAAGATATTGACAGTAGCGAGGGAAAAACTTCAAGAGTACTGTGCAACAATATATTCAAGAAATGACGTGAATCAGATGTTGATACTAAAAAAAAATCCAAAAAACTTTTGGACAATTTAAGATCACAGGAATTTACTTAAATCAACAGCTTAAAAACGTTCGACTTTTCAACTTTATACACAACTATTGTCCACGATTAATTAAAGTCCAGGCTTTTTGATATCATTGACAGCTGCTTTTTCAATAAAAATGGAACTTGTAAATTTACTTACACATGTTTCTGGTCATTTGCAAAATTATTTTGTTTAAACACATTCTAAATGCACACACAAGTACTCTGAAGTTGACATCAAAGAGATGCTTGAGTTTCTGATTGACAATATCTATGTGGTTTTTGGAGACCAGGAATTCCAACAATCTATTGGAATTCTCATGTGTATCAAATGCGCTCCGTAATTAGGAGACCTATTTTTATTTTCATATGAAGCAAAATTTGTGTTAAATCTTATGCGTGAAAAGAAGAAAACAGTTGCTGTGGCCTTCAACTCGACATTAAGATATATCGACGACATATTGTCGATTAACAATAGTCTTTTCCATTCCTACGTCGATACGATATAACCTGGTGAGCTTGAGATAAAAGACACCACGTAGTCTGACAAATTAATGGTAACCTAACAACCTAGCTATATGATAAACGTGTTTACTTTTACTTTTCTATCGTCAACATCCCTTACTTATGCAGCAATCATCTCCTGCATACGGAGTGTATATATCTCAGTTGATTTGATACGCAAGAGCATGCTCTAAGTATAAACAATTTCTAATACGAGTTAAATTATTGTCAAGCAAGTTGATGAAACAAGAATATCAAAGTCTCGTTTAAAGTCATCATTTCGTAAATTCTATGGTCGATACAAGGTCCTTTTCAGCAAATACAATTTATCATTGAGACAAATGTTGACTGACTTTTTCTCTTACTAATTGTTAGTCCATTGTTTAGTTCTACACAGAATTGGCGGCGGATTTTTCTGTTATTTTATAACAAGGAGCACACAGCAGGTGTGACAGGGGATGCTTACTCCTCCATGTCACCTGATCCCGCCTCTGATGTTTCGGAGGTCCGTGTTTGCTTTGCTCCTATTTTGCATTTTATGGACTTTGATACTGAATACTGTTCGTAATCTCCATATCCTTCTTTGGAAAACAAAACGAGATACGTGTTACTCTAAAATTTTGGTAAAACTTGTGCTTTTCACCTTAGAAATCAACGGAAAATATTTTTTAAACATCCCCCGTGACACAAAATTCGTTTTACAGGTAATATGGACTGTTATTACACAAACTCATACCAAAGACTTTTTGTCTATCACGGGGTGAAACATAATGTTTATTGACCAAAAAAAAAAAAATGAAATAAAAGAAACGCTCATTTCCCCCAATTTCACAACTGAAATATTATATTTTATAAATATATGAGCATTTATGTTTCATTTATTTATCTAAAACATAAGAAAAGATAATAGGAACATTAAATAACATCCAAGATAACTTCAAAATATGGTGATGCTTAAAAGTCCTATTTCAAAGGAAAATATCGTCTACCCCGTTTTTTCTAGAACTGGAGTTAGGGATAATTATCACCTAGCGCTATAACAAGTTGTTGCCAAATTGCCATTTGTATTGAATTAAATGGTTGCAAAATGTACTCGGGAATCAAGAGTTAGCGTGCGTATTTCTCGCACATATCTATTTTTTCCTTTTGTTTTATTGTCTTTTCATTGGTCACTACTTTGTTGTAAATTGTACTCAATCTGGCTGACCAAAAAGGGTGTTATTTTATTTCTATTGCATGATAGTGAGGAAAATATGAAGACTTATTCAGACATGAAATATCTTATTCCCGAGGGCTTTGCCCTCGGGGAATATGATATTTCTTGTCTGAATAAGTCTTCTTGTTTCCCGCACATTCATGCAATGAATTGTTTTTTATACAGAAACAAGCAAAACCTTTGAAATAAACATAAACTTTCAAATTCGGCATCACTCTCAAATTCACTTTCATTTTTTACTATAAAACCCTTTGGTCAACACATTATCGTCAATTTTGAGACGTAAGCCAAGCTATTGTGACGTTTACTACTCTCGGGAGTTTTCGTTCAACGAACGAGAACGATATTGCCGGAAAATACAACAGGTGTTCCGAAGAGGTGGAATTTGATAAAAAGCCCGCCGACGGCTGTGAAATATGAAGTTTTACATGCTGATCACGTGATAATCTAGAACCAATCAAATAACGCGTTGTGTAGAATATTTATGAGGTATTTATCAGGTATAATAATACATTTTGCGTTCTTGTCTTTTGCTTAATCACGAAGCAAAATGTAACAACGCAAAATGTAATAATATAAAAAACTAAGTTAATATAATTTGGGAAATTACATTCTGCGTTGATTTCGACGCAAAATGTAAGGACACAAAATGTAATAATCCAGGTTTATTACATTTCAAGCTGTATTTACGTTTCGTGTTGTAACAAAGCAGATAAATGTCTTTCAATATTTTATGTTATGTCTCTTATCTACTAGACATAACAATATGTTTTTATTTATTCGTGCAAAATTCGACGTTTCATTCTCTTTTTTTTAAATCAATAAAGTGAAAAGGACTAATTTTTAACTTTAACTTTCACTTTCATGTTCATACTGTTAAATTTATGTTACACCTTAATTACACTTACAATAACTAATGCATTTTCCTAGTTTACTTAGCTTTGACCAAGCATCTTTATAACCAAGATACTGTAGGTGATTGTTTACCAAAATAATATTATTACTCTATCGACTTCAAAAATTCTGCAATAACTTGTCCTGAAAGGAGACTTTTGCTCTGCTCAGAAAAATCATGTATTTATATGGCAGTTTGTCATGTTTTCCAACACATATAATTTTTGAAAAATATCTTTGATGAATGTCACACATCATGGTTGTCACAAGTGACATTGTGTCAATGTTTGATATTAGCTAGTTAATTGTACAGGTATTTGTAAAAGTTATCTTTATTTTGGCATTAGGAGTTATCGTTTATTTCATTTACGCACTATTGGTCACTGAGTTGTATTTGTTCTATTTTTATCAACGTATACTCGTCGAACCCGTTTGAGTAGTTTGGTCAGTTATTTATACTGGGTGTTGGCTAGTGTGTGTCAGATGAGGTCTGGACGCCGTGAGTTATACTTTACCCATGCTTAGTGATCTTGGGTGTGCCTTTTATGTAACCCATGCTGTGTGAACTTGGGTGTGTTTAGCTGTTTCCCCTGCTGTGTGATCTTGGGATTCAGGGATGTTTTGTAGCGGCCTTGAGAGCAAGACCTGGGGGCCGACAGTATGGTTTTTATGTATAAAATGCCACAGCTCAGTAAGTTTTATACTTTACAATATTTTTGTTGTTAGCTTTAAAGAGCAATTTTCTTTGTAAAACTGTAAGCAATATAGTGAGATTGTATATATTTACGCTGTAATTCATTTACTTGTTAAACGGCAAATACATGTTTTCTTTCGTTATTTGTTTGTAAAATCTAGTATATTGAACAGATATGTGTTTCGAACATTTTATTAGAAACCCTATGAAAATTGTAGGTGACCAAAATTGTATATTAAGCTTTTGTTCTGGACGGGAGGATTGGTGTACGTGTGAGGCTACTTAGGATATGGTGGACCGGACGGGACACTATGGTGGACAATATGGTGGACCATGCACGTGGTGTGAAGTGTGAATCTGTCCAGTGATGACCATGATTGAACTTTTGGCCGTTTTCATGTTTATTGTACATATGTAGATAAATTTATTGTTAATTTTTATAAATCTTTTTGTTTCTTGGTATACAGGAGGTCTTACAAAATATTATTTATTTTGGTTTGTAAATTCTGATTTAACGAATCCATCACAACTTGAGGTCAGTTGTGACATTTTTGGTGGCAGCGGTGGGATAGACTTCCTGTTACCAAGTATACCTACATTATTTTCACGTTTTGTAGAAAAGGCTTTAGTTGAAAAAGATTTCTATTGTTTGAATTATTTTTTTTTCGCAGGTTTTGTACAAACTATTTTTTTTCATATGCATTTTGTTATTTTCTTATTTTCACATTTGTTGTTTGTTGTTGCGTTGCATATTGTAACAATGGAGTATGTACAATTAGGAGAAAAGTTAGGTTTGCAAGGAACTGAGTTACAAGAGTTTGTTGACAGAAAAGAGAGAGAATATTTTGAAAGGATGGAAAGGGCAGCAGAGAGAGAAGCGAGAAAGATTGAGAGCGAAATTGAATTAGAAAAACTTAAGAAAGAAACTGAATTACAAAAATTAAAAGCTGGAGAATTAGCTGTAGGTCCATTAGGTCTTGCTTCTCAATCGCTTGCTAAGTTGCCAAAGTTACCTCCGTTTGATGAATCTAAAGATTGTATTGATTCATATTTACAGAGATTCGAAAGGTTTGCTTCGTGTGCTAAGTGGGAACAGTCTTCATGGGCGATTAATCTTAGTGCTCTCCTGAAATTAAAGCTCTTGAGGTGTATTCTAGACTTCCAGTTTCAGAGGCTCTGAATTATGGTACTTTGAAGCAAGAGTTGTTAAGGCGTTTTCAACTGACAGAAGAAGGGTTTCGTGTCAAGTTCCGTTCCAGCAGACCAGAACAGGGTGAGAATCCTTCACAATTCTTTGCTAGGCTGAACAATTATGTAGAGAAATGGTTGTCTTTAGCAGATAGTCCTAAAACATATGACGGTCTTAAAGATTTGTGTTTAAGAGAACAGTTTTTAAACAGTTGTAGTAAGCAGTTGGGAATGTATCTTAAAGAAAGACATCCGAAAAGCGTAGAAGAAATGTCAAATCTCGCAGATCAATTTATTGAAGCTCATGGTTATACTTCATTCACTAAAGACCTACAAGTTTTTCAGAAGCAACCTTCGAGCACTTCTAGCGTTCAGAGTAACAGCAGTGGATCCATTCAAAAGCAACAGGCGTACCAAGGATCACCACAGCAAAAAGGTGAGAGAAAATGTTACATCTGTTGGAAAAGTGGACATTATGCAAGAAACTGTTTGTCCAAGCAGAAAATTCATCGTGCAGTTACTACTTCGCACAATACTCAAAAGGCTGCGATGTTATAGAGTCAACATAAATGTGAATTGAATTGCATAAAATCTAATGACAATTCTAGTTCCAGCTTACAGAATTCTGCTGAAGTCAAGACGGACAATGCTATATCGCATCAAAATCAGCCTCACATAGGATCAGCATGCATTCTCAAACATAAACTGTTGCAGTGTTGTGTCACAGATGGACTTGTAAAACTCGCATGTGGACACATATTACCTGTTATTGGAGGCGTCTGCAAGGTTTGTGAAAAGATGCCCGTTGCTATGGGTTATGTCGGTGAAAACTTTGTTAGAGTGTTAAGAGACTCGGGTTGTAGTGGTGTTGTTGTGAAGAGAGATTTGGTTACAGATGATCAGCTGACTGGACAAGTGCAGAAATGTGTTCTGATAGACGGCACAGTTCGTACAGTAGAGGAGGCTTCCATCTATGTCGACACTCCCTACTTCACAGGTAATATCAATGCTTTATGTATGAAAGAACCTGTTTACGATCTTATTATAGGTAACATCGATGGTGCCAGGAATCAGACGGATCCTGATCCACAGTGGTGTAGAAAGGACGAAAGAGAAGAGTGTAGTCAAGTTCTTCAAGCTGTACAGACAAGGAATCAAAAGAAAAAAGAAGACAAAGGTATGAAAAAGCTAAAAGTTACAGATTTAGTGGATACTGATATGACAATTGATCAGATGAAACAACTGCAGATGGATGATTCTTCCTTGAAAGTGTATCGTGAGCATGCAGCGACTGGCAGAAAGAAGAACATTGGCGAAAATATAGAGACATGGTTTAGTGTTGAAAGAGGACTGTTGTACAGACATTATCATTCAAGAAAGGTTAGTGATGAAAAACTGTATAAACAACTTGTTGTTCCAGAACCTTTACTACAGAAAGTTATGAAGATTGCGCACGACAGTATCTTAGGCGGACATCTTGGTACAAAGAAGACTCTAGACCGCATCATGTCGAATTTCTATTGGCCTGGAATCCAGGGTGACGTGACGAGATATTGCCAATTATGTGACATATGCCAAAGAACATTTCCTAAAGGCAAAGTGACGAAGGTTCCGTTGGAGAAAATGCCACTTATTGATACACCATTTGAACGGGTAGCCGTAGATTTGGTAGGTCCGCTTTCTCCAATTACTGACAAAGGCAATAGATATATTTTGACTGTTGTAGATTACAGTACTAGGTATCCAGAGGCGGTTGCATTAAAGAACATCGATACAGAGGCGGTGGCAGAAGCGTTGGTAGAGATATTCAGCAGACTTGGCATTCCAAAAGAAGTACTGTCAGACATGGGTACGCAATTTACCTCCAACATTATGAAAGAGGTGGGTCGACTTTTATCATTTAAGCAATTAGTAACAACTCCATACCATCCAGCATGTAATGGACTAGTAGAAAAGTTCAATGGTACTTTGAAGTCAATGTTAAGGAAAATGAGTTCTGAAAGACCAAAAGACTGGGATAGATATTTACCAGCATTGTTATTTGCTTATCGAGAAGTTCCACAAGAAAGCACTGAATTTTCTCCATTTGATCTAGTTTATGCACGTAATGTTAGGGGACCTATGGCAGTTTTGAAAGAACTGTGGACAAAGGAGGAGAAGGACCCGGAAGTGAAAACTACTTACCAGTATGTGCTTGACCTTAAGGAGCGACTAACAAGAACGTGTGAGCTGGCTCAGAAAGAACTTCAGAAGTCTAAAGACCATTACAAGAAACAGTACGATAAAAGGACAAAGCCGAGATCTTTCAAGGTTGGTGATTTCGTTCTTCTTTTGCTTCCAACAGACCATAACAAACTTTTAATGCAGTGGAAAGGACCTTTCAAAGTAGTTGATAGAAAAGGACAAAATGATTACCAGATAGATATGAATGGACAAGTTCGTTTGTTTCATGCAAATTTATTGAAGAAATACAATGTTCGAGAGGAAAAGGATACAGACTCGCCGACAACTTTAGCCTCTTGTGTCGTTTTGGAATCGGAGGAAATGGAGGACTCAAGTAATGAACATTTGTTACATCTTCTCCCGATGAAGGCAACAGAATCATTCACAGATGTTAAGGTAAATCATTCACTGTCATCAGAACAGCTTGAATCCATTAATGATGTCTTACATGAATTTCAGGAAGTTTTAACAGATCTACCTGGTAGAACGAATGTGATCCAGCATGAAGTTCATCTCACTACCAAAGAACCAATCAGAAAAAGACCATATCAGATACCGTATGCAGTCAGAAGTGCAGTCCGAGAAGAAATACAGCATATGATTGACATGGATATCATCGAACCATCAGAATCACCGTATGCTAGTTCGATTGTCGTGGCAAAGAAGTCCGATGGTAGCCAGAGAATATGTGTGGATTTTCGTAACTTGAATAAGGTAACAGTTTTTGATCCAGAACCAATGCCGATACAGATGAAATCATGACTAAAATTTGTAATAGTCGTTTCTTTTCTAAACTTGATTTATGTAAGGGATATTGGCAGATTCCAATGAGAGAAGAAGGCAGAGATTTCACATCATTTTTAACACCAGATGGTTTGTACAGGTTTAAAGTAATGCCCTTCGGTATGAAGAGCAGCCCAGCTACTTTTAACAGGCTAATGCGGAAAATTCTCAAAGGTTTAGAGCATACTGATAGTTTTGTTGATGACATTCTCATTCATACAGAAACTTTTGAAGAACATATTACAGAACTGAGAAAAGTGCTGGAGAGACTTCAGAGAGCGCAATTAACAGCAAAACCATCCAAATGTGAGCTAGCGCAGACGAAACTCGAGTACTTGGGTCATGTTATTGGAGGAGGAATCTTACAGCCAACCAACAAGAAGTTAAGAGCTATCCAAGAAGCACCAAGGCCAGAGACAAAGAAGCAGGTTAGATCTTTCCTTGGTTTGATTGGCTATTATAGAAAATTTGTGCCAAACTTTTCCACTATTGCTGCTCCTTTAACTGACTTAACCAAGAAAGGTGTTCCAAACAAATTTGACTGGAAACAAGAACATGATAATTCATTTAAGAGTTTAAAATCCATGTTGCTCTACAGTCCAATTCTCAGATTACCAGATTTGACGAAGCCATTTATCTTAAAAACCGATGCATCTAATCATGGAGTTGGTGCAGTGTTGATGCAGAAGCATGATGGACGTACATTTCCTGTTGCGTACGCAAGCCGGAAGCTGCTAGACAGAGAACAACGTTATTCGGTTGTGGAGAAAGAGTGTCTTGCAGTCGTATGGGCTATACAGAAATTTCAGTCTTACTTGTATGGAAGAGCGTTTGTTGTGGAGACAGATCATAGACCACTACTTCATTTACAAAAGACTAAAGTTTCAAACAGCAGATTGATGAGATGGTCTCTTTTTCTACAAGCGTTCAACTTTAGAACTGAAGTTATTAGAGGTGTAGATAACATTGGAGCTGATTTTCTCAGTCGTGTTGTTCCTGAGTAAGTTCTTGTTCATAAAGACTTTGTTGTGTACATAGTTTTTCATTTATGTCACAAAATTGCATTTTGTGTCTTAAGAAGGGAGGTATTGTCACAAGTGACATTGTGTCAATGTTTGATGTTAGCTAATTAATTGTACAGGTATTGGTAAAAGTTATCTTTATTTTGGCATTAGGAGTTATCGTTTATTTCATTTACGCACTATTGGTCACTGAGTTGTATTTGTTCTATTTTTATCAACGTATACTCGTCGAACCCGTTTGAGTAGTTTGGTCAGTTATTTATACTGGGTGTTGGCTAGTGTGTGTCAGATGAGGTCTGGACGCCGTGAGTTATACTTTACCCATGCTTAGTGATCTTGGGTGTGCCTTTTATGTAACCCATGCTGTGTGAACTTGGGTGTGTTTAGCTGTTTCCCCTGCTGTGTGATCTTGGGATTCAGGGATGTTTTGTAGCGGCGTTGAGAGCAAGACCTGGGGGCCGACAGTATGGTTTTTATGTATAAAATGCCACAGCTCAGTAAGTTTTATACTTTACAATATTTTTGTTGTTAGCTTTAAATAGCAATTTTCTTTGTAAAACTGTAAGCAATATAGTGAAATTGTATATATTTACGCTGTAATTCATTTACTTGTTAAACGGCAAATACATGTTTTCTTTCGTTATTTGTTTGTAAAATCTAGTATATTGAACAGATATGTGTTTCGAACATTTTATTAGAAAACCCTATGAAAATTGTAGGTGACCAAAATTGTATATTAAGCTTTTGTTCTGGACGGGAGGATTGGTGTACGTGTGAGGCTACTTAGGATATGGTGGACCGGACGGGACACTATGGTGGACAATATGGTGGACCATGCACGTGGTGTGAAGTGTGAATCTGTCCAGTGATGACCATGATTGAACTTTTGGCCGTTTTCATGTTTATTGTACATATGTAGATAAATCTATTGTTAATTTTTATAAATCTTGTTGTTTCTTGATATACAGGAGGTCTTACAATATATTATTTATTTTGGTTTGTAAATTCTGATTTAACGAATCCATCACAACTTGAGGTCAATTGTGACAATGGTATTCAGTTATAAATAATTAATTTTAAATCTTTAACAATATATGGAATAGAAAAGACTATGAAGATAACTATAATACAGAATTTTACATCACTTTTAATAAATGTTACAGGGAGGGTTTTCATTATGAATGACTACCTTATGGTAAAATATAAGTATTATAGAAAGAAATCTACATGTATCTTCTGCAATACGATAGTTCTATGTAGTTTAATACTGGATCAATGAAATAAAAATGAGAATAATTATAGTTAACTGATTTTGAGTTCCCCCCCCCCCCGAAAAAAAAAAAGTCATTCAAAAACTTACAATAAAGAATATAATGTAATTACTCTTTTCATATCACATTTTGTGTCAACCCGAGAAATGGAATGTGTGATGTAAAATACATCGTCTCAAGCCACGGTTTGGGGTCTGCATATAGCTCTGTCCTACCCCACCAGAATGGGAGAGGATCGTATATTTTGGCCGTTGTTTCCGTCTTTGTGTAAAATATTACGATGAATTTTTTGCAACGTAAAGTTTCTTCACCTTCGTATTTCATGTATCTCTAAGCTAAACCCGGATAAGTCAAAATGTTCAAGCTTATCATGCATATTTAATGAATATTTTTAGCCTCTTTTGACATTGCAAAAAATACTTTAGACAGCATACTTTCCTTGTGCAATGGAATCAAAATATATACATGGATATTACAAATACATTCACAGTCATACACAAAATATGCATATTATACTCTTCTAGAACCTAAGATAGACAACACATCTGTTACTTAATTACATTTTAATTTCTCAATGCATATCTCTATTGAGCGTTTACAACATGTAGCCAGAAAATGAAGAGTATGTGTGATAAACAGATGATGCTCCAGAAAAGCTATCTATCCAAGCCTTATCTCCTGCTTCCATTCTGACGACAGCCATTTTACTACAAGACATGTTGATAGAATGGCTGTTGTTGTTACAATGGTTATATGCCCTTCTTTTACCATTAAAGACCAGAGAAGTATAAGCAATTTTGTTAGTGTACGTCATTGTTGTCCAATCAAAGACGTACACTCCGGATTTGGGGGCGGTGAAAATTCCTTTTACCGCATTGTAACCACCTCAAACATTTAGATCTACCTCTCCAAACATGACAATGTTCCCAGTACTTACTGATTGAACACTTCCTTTGGCTTTGGCGTTTAATGCTATTACCGTATTTTCTAAGAACAAATAAAGTACATATTGAAATGAAAAATATGTGAGTTCACTGCATATTCATTATATCAAGGATGTAGATGGGTAAGTATCTTACTTCTGTCTCGGTTGTTTTTACAGTGATCCTTAACATATCCAACAGCCACACATGTTTTAGCGACACTGTCATAGTCGTCTCTGAAGGATTTAAGACTCGGCCGTGTTGACACTTTGTCAGTGTTAATGATGCCAAAAAAGGAAATTAACCCCACAATCAAAACTAGGGAAGGCATTCTATAAAATTCATGATAAATAATGGAGAACAAATTTTGAGTGAGGTCTTCAAACTCGATTATTCTGTTTTTAAATTCAGAAAAGCTCCATGATTATGAAAAGTTTTTTTTTTTATAAACCTACTGATATGTCATTTAGCCGTCATACAATTAAGTGTGGTAGTTTTCAGTATGAAGGAATATTATCAGAGAAAAACTTAATCAGACAAATATAGCGATAACGTTATAATTCCATCACTTTTCATTTAAGTTTTGTAATTTTATTCGGGGATTCAAAAATAAAATGCTTTAAAAAAAAAAAAAACGTTAAAGGCTTTTGGATTTATATACTTCTTTTAAAAGTAAAAAAAAAAAAAAATTATAGGTAAATATGTTTTCCTCACTTGTTTTGAATAATTTAATTGTTGATCAGTGATGAAAGTTCTTCAATAAATGAGTTATGATATAATAATTAAGTTATTCTATAGTAACAAATTGTGTTTTTCCTTAACATATAGTTCTCAATATATTTTCAGTAAAACAAAAATATCTTACGTCTCGTGAGGAATAAGTGACCATTTGTTTTAACCCCGACTAAAGATACTATCGTTCTTATTACATGTAGTATCAGCTTTTATATATTTTATTCCTAGCGTGCTGTCTTACTATTTGGTAACATATTGCAATCGTATCATTTGATACTAGCAACGAAAATTATTTATTGTGAACGTTTACGAAATCCAGGACAATTTACCAAAAGTGACTCCAGACGCATAATTAACATTTATTGTCTGAGTAAACATTGTGTAATATGTTATTTAATAAAATAATATAATGTACTAAAACACAAATGATAACAAAACACTTATGTTTTCATAATCCCTTTAATTCAGGCATGTGGTATTGTGTAAAAAGACATTCGAAAGACTATGAATCAATACGGACCAAATAACGTCGACTTTCGTTGTATAAATCGGTGATGCACGATGTTAAGTCAACCTGATAAATGTATATTTATTGTAGGTGGGAAACGGCAAATATTTTATTTATTAATTTATTTATAATTATTTGTTGTAGACTCATTTAAGTAAAAAGTTTGATTTTTTTAATGTTTTACGTACTAAAGGAGAATGAAGAGTTAAACGGATGTGACCAGTCAGCAGGGGAGGCTCACTCCTCCATGGTACCTGATACCAACGCTGATGTTTCGGAGGTCCGTGTTTGCTCTGTTCCTATATTGTTTTGTTTTATGGCCTTTGATATTGAATACTGTTCATTATCTCCACATCCTTCTTTCAGCTCTTTCATATGCAAAGACATATATTCAAGTGACTTGAATTTCAAATGACGTAGCGATGTTGTCCCAGTTCAATAGACATATGCATATTTATAATTCGATTCTTTCATCGGAAAATATTGAATTGTCATATAATTTAGAAATACATTGTGCATA